TCTCAGCCCTCTGATCTCCTTTTCTGCCCCCCCTCCCCCGGTCTTCCGACAGCAACTCCATTCCAGTGTCCGAACAGGGAACCTGGAGACCTGTCTGCGCCTTCTCTCCTTGGGGGCCCAAGCCAACTTCTTCCACCCGGTAAGTCCGAGGCTGATCTGTACCTCGGCCCAGAGCTTCTGGGCATGTGCAGAGTTCCCATCGGCTTCTCTTCCCTTTTTGTAGGAGAAAGGGACCACGCCTCTTCACGTGGCTGCCAAAGCGGGCCAGGTGCTGCAGGCGGAGCTGCTGGTGGTCTATGGGGCTGACCCAGGCGCCCCCGACGTGAATGGCCGGACCCCCATCGACTACGCCAGGTGGGGGCCATGGGGCGGCGGTGGTGGTGGTGGGGGCAGATTCGTCTGCAGGAAAAGAAAATTCTCCAGGTTCCTGGGAGTTCTAGACGCTCATATCGGTAGTCCTCGACCTGCGACCATGAGTGAGCCCAACATTTCTGTTGCTAAGTGAGATATTTGTTAAGTGAGCTTGGTCCCACGGCTGTTAAGTGAATCTGGATCAGTTACGGTGACAGACTCATAAGAGATAATCCAGCCCAGGTGGTTGTGGCTTGGCCCCTCCCAAGAGAGTATATAAGAAGAGACTTTGGGAGGAGTCTGGTTTGCAGGACACAACCTTTCGTAGTAATCTGGACTGACAACCACGGCGATTTACAATCGCTTAACAACAGCGGAACCAAAGGTCGCAAAACGGGACCCTTTCAATCGCATGACGGTGAACACCTTTCGCGCCGCTGTTGTTAAGCGAATCGCCGTGTTTGTCAGTCACACGGTTGTTAAGTGAATCTGGCTTCACGTAACAGCCGTGGGGGCCAAGCTCACTTAACAGCTGTCTCACTTAGCAACAGAAACGTTGGGCTTCATTGTGGACAGAAGTCGAGGAACACCTAGGCGAGCTTCTAGAACTCCCAGGAACCTGGAGGATTTTCTCTTCCTGTGGACTTGGCTTGTCGGAAGGTCGCTAAAGGGGATCAATGCGACCATCATAAGTGGGAATCAATTGCCACTAAGTCTAACTGCTATTTTCCACTCCGTAGACAGGCGTCCCAACACGAACTGGCCGAGAGACTGGTGGAGTGCCAGTACGAACTGACTGACCGGCTGGCTTTCTACCTGTGTGGGCGCAAGCCAGGTAAGGGAATGGCGGCCCCAGCAGAGTGGTGGTGGTGGTCTTGACTGGGTGAGGGCACGCAGAGCAGTTTGGGTGGGTGGGGGTGGGGGAGAATAGATGGAGCTCAGGGTTGAAATGAAGGCTCCTTGGTGGGTTTCTGGCAGGCGTTTCGTGACCCAACTAGGTAACNGACTCCGGCCTGCTTACCCACATGATCAAAGCCACCATGGAAAACCTCCCAAGCGTACATTTCCTTCCTCACCGGCCCCCTGCCCCCCAAACAGCCGGGCGGGAGATGACATAACCCTTAAAGACCCCCCCCTCTTATTAATCAATAGTGAAAGCAGAACAGTGACTCCTTCAAAAACAGCCCTCCTTCCCTCCACCCAAAAAAACAAACCAAGATTCCCAGTTTAAGGATGGAGAGAGAGAGGGAGGCAGAGGGAGGGAGAGAGAGAAAGAGAGGGTGGGAGGGAGAGGGGGAGCTGGAGAAAAAGGGATGGAGAAAGAGAGGGAGAGAGAGAGGGAGGGGGAGGCAGAGGGAGAGGAAAAGGGAGGGAGTGGGAGATAGAGCTGTGGAGAGAGGGGGAGAGGGAGGGAGAGAGTGGGGAGGAGGAAGGAGGGAGAGGGAGGGAAGGGGAGAGAGAGCTGTAGAGAGAGGGATGGAGAGGAGGAGGGAGTGAGTGGGAAGGGAGAGGGAGGGAGGAGAAGGAGAACTGTAGAGAGAGAGGGAGAGAAGGAGCTGGAGAAAAAGGGATGGAGAAAGAGAGGGAGAAAGACAGGGAGGGAGAGGGAGAGCTGGAGAAAAAGGGATGGAGAAAGAGAGGGAGAGAGGAAGAGGGAGGGAGGGGGAGAGAGAGCTGTAGAGAGAGGGAAGGAGAGGGGGAGGGAGAGAGTGGGGAGGGAGAGGGAGGGAGGGAGAGAACATTGGAAGGGAATCTGGGGTTGGCATCTGGGTGCCAAGGAATCTGGGCAGCTGGAGGGGCAGAAGGCAGAGGAGATCTCTTCCTGGGGAAAACCTTCCTGGCATGGAGGGGAGTGTGTGTGTGCGTGGGGGGGGGGGTCCCTCAGTATGTGCTCCTCATAATCTCCCCTCCTTCCTCTCACCCCCCCCCCCTTTAAAAAACTTGGCCTTCTCTTCCAGATGGTTCACACGCTTGCCAGCAATGGCGCCAACTCCATCTGGGAGCACTCCCTCCTCGATCCGGCGCAAGTGCAGAGCGGACGCCGTAAAGCGAACCCTCAGGACAAAGTGCAGTGAGTGGGGGTTTTTTTGGGGGGGGGGTAGGGCTTCAGTGGTGGAAGGCCTCGATATGTGGCCCGAACGTTTTTGGAGAGGGGAGAGGGGAATTTCCATGCCAGTGTTTCAAAATTTCATATATTTTTAATTGTCTTCACACACACAGACACACAAATACACAAACACACAAACAGACACACACACCAATCTGGTGCAGGTAGTCCAGGGAGTTGTAGCCCACCCCTCTTTACCATTGCCAAGGTTGAAAAAAGGTGTGTGGGCTAGAGCAGGGGTCTCCAACCATGACAAGTTTAACCCTGGGGGACTTAAACTTCCCTAAAGGATTCTGGGAGTTGAAGTCCACTAGTCTTAAATCAAAGCCGGCTGGGGGATTCTGGGAGTTGTANGATAGATAGATAGATAGATAGATAGATAGATAGATAGATAGATAGATAGATAGATAGAAGATGGATGGATGGATGGATGATAAACTGACAGACAGAGAAGAGAAGCTGGAAGGGACCTTGGGGTCTTCCAGTGCAGCCCCTCCACCATTTCAGACTTATTTAGCTGCATTTTTGATGTTTTTAAGAAGAGACCGGACGGCCACTTCTCTGAAATGGTACAGGGCCTTCTGCTCGAGTATGGGGATGGACTAGTTGACCTCCAAGGTCCCTTCCAACTCTTGTTATTCTGGGTACTGGAGGGTTGAGGGGCCCGTGGGGCTTGGCTGACCCTTCTCACTGACAAGAGCTTTGTGCCCTATAGAACAGGGGTCTCCAAAGCTGGCAAAGATAAACTGTGCGGACTTCAACTCCCAGAATTCCCCCGGCAGCCATCTTCTTTAGCTTTCGGCTCTCTCCATGTTGGCAAGCCTTGCAAAAGGTGGCATTTGCCATCCTGGCACTTGGGGGGCACCTTTATGACCACAATTGAGCCCCGAATTTCCACCGCCGAGGAAGACAGTTGTTAAGTGAGTTTTCCACCATTTTAGGGCCTTTCCTGCCCCAGTTGTTAAGTGAAACACTGCAATTGTTAAGTTGGGATCACAGATGTTAAGTGAATCTGCCTCCCTAATTCTCTTTGCTCGTCAGAAGGTCGCAAAAGGGGGGAAATCACAAGAGCCCTGGAGTTTTTGTCCCCGTTTTACGACCTTTCTTCCCACAGTTGCTAAGCGAATCTCTGCCGTTGTTAAGTGAGGAACGCAGCCGTTAAGGGAATGTGGCTTCCCCATGGACGTTGCTCGTCAGAGGTTCGGAAAAGCAGATCACGTGAACTGGGGACGCTGTGGCCGTCATAAATATGAGTCGGTTGACAGATGTCTGAATTTTGATTGCGTGAAAAACGATAACAGGACTTTTTTCAGTGCCGTCGTAACTTTGAATGGTTGTAAGTCGAGGACTAGCTGTATTCTGTATTCTATTCCTTTTTTCAGCCTGGAAGGAAGACTCTTTCAAATGGCAGGTCCTCCTTTTGTGACAGGTGTCAGATATTGGCCGGGGGGGGGAGGAAGGGGAGA